AACTAGTACTTTACAGTGTATGTAACATTGAGACATCATAAAAACTATTAGTCTTTCACAATCCTAAGTTCCGTCTAGCCGTTGCGTCCTGGTTTGGGTCTTCGTCAACTGCGTCTCCCGGCGGTCATGGCAGCCGGCTGTCCTAAGTTTTGGAGTCTCGTATATTCAGTGGTTTGAAAAGTTGGGGAGGAGGGGGGGGGCCACCAAGCGGTGCTATGGGGACGGAGCAGGAGGGGGAAAGGAAATGGTTGGTGTATCTCGGGGCGCCCGGCGGGAGGAGGTCCGCCAAACCGCTGCGAACCTTTTCCAGGCTATATAACAGTTTCGTTAGCGTACACTTCCCAGGGAAGCCAGATGTTTTGGAATTTTTTTTCCGTATTTCTGATTTGTGCTGTGAGTTTGTCCATCAAATAGGAGTCTTTAATTTTAACTATCACGTCGTTGTCTGTGGGGACTGTGGGTTTAAGCCACATCTGCGCGAGGGCTCGTCTCGCTGCCAGTGTGAGTTTATTTAAAAGTTGTTGCTCCTTCCTAGGAAGGCCGTCCGTTGGTCGGGACAGTAGCATCGCCCAGGGATCTAGGTCTAAATGTCGCGTGAGAACCTCTTTCACTAATATTTGGACCCTTTTCCAGTATATGGTCACTTCAGGGCACTCCCACCACATGTGAACAAAGGTGCCTTTGCCTCCGCAGCCTTTCCAGCATGTGTCTGTCGTGGTTTTCCCCATCTTATGGAGTTGTACCGGTGTTGTGTACCACCTCATGAGCATTTTATAGGATTGTTCTTGGTGTAGTACACAAATTGACGTCTTGGCCGTCGCTTCCCAGATATCCACCCAGTCCTCCCCTTCTATAGCCCCCCCTAGGTCCTCCTCCCACTGGTGTATATATCTAGGGTCTGCGGTTCCCTTTTCTGGGGAACTCAACTGCGCATATATGGCCGTGATCAGCCCCTTTTGTGTGGTTTCTGCGTTGCACATTTGTTCGAAAAATGTCATAGGGGTCTGTGCTGCTTTTTTAATATCTGGGTTTTTGGCAAAGTCTCTCAACTGTACATATCTGAATACGTCTTTGGTTGTCAGGGAGGCCATGGCTTTTAGGGTGTCAAAGGTTTTGAAGGAATCGCCGTCATACATATGTCCATATCTTTGCATTCCTGTGTCTTCTATCCCCCTAAAATCTCGTGCGGTCAGCCCGGGTTCAAATGCTTTGTTCCGTAAGTATGGAGTCAATGGCGAGGGTGTGTGTTTTAGTGCGTATTTGGTGGCTGTTAGATCCCAGATCCTTATGGAATTAAGGATCGCCGGACAAGAGGTGCGTAGGGGGGGTCTGTCGTGTTTGGGTACCCAGATCCAAAATTGTGGGAGGTCCGTACACATAAGTTTTGTCTCTAGATCTACCCACCTGTGCGTGCCCTCCGGAGTGTGCCATGCTATTATTTGGGCTAGTTGCGCCGCCAGGTAGTATTGATATAGGAGTGGGAGTCCCAGTCCACCCTTCACTTTCGGTCGGTACATTACTTGTCTAGCAATCCTGTGTCTTTTCTGCGCCCAAATGAAGTTATCTATGTGTTTCTGGATCATCTGCAGGTCTTGTTTAGTGACTTTGGTGGGTAGGGCCTGGAACAAGAACAATAGTCGTGGGAGTAGTGTCATTTTAATTGCGTGTTGTCTGCCAATCCACGATATGGGCTTTTCGTGCCATTTTTCCAAGTCACGACAAAGCGCCTGGATTGTAGGCGGGTAATTGGCACTATATAGTTTCGCCGGATCTGAGGTGAGTTTAACGCCGAGATATTTAATTTCGGATCTCGTAAGTTTGAAGGGATAGGCGTTTTTAATGTCGTTAACGCTGTCTGCATCCATTTCTATTGGCATGGCCACCGATTTTTCTAAATTTATTTGATAGCCTGTGATGCGTCCGTATTCCTCTAGGAGGGTCATGAGTCGGGGCAAGGATTCTCTCGGATTGGTGATCGTGACCAGGACATCATCCGCGTATGCGGAGACTTTAAATTCTTCGTCCCTCGCCTTGACCCCGGTTATGTGCTCGTCCTCCCGTATCCTCTGCAAGAGAGGCTCCAACGAGAGGACGAACAGCAGAGGGGAGAGGGGGCAGCCCTGCCTCGTGCCGTTGGCGGGCGTAAATGGGGTCGGGGTTGCTCCCTGTACGTTGGTCTGGGCCCTCGGGTCAGTGTATAGGGCTTTTATACCTTTAACAAAGTTTTCTGGCATGTGTAGGCGTTCTAGTAGTGCAAAAAGGTAGCACCATTGCACCCTATCGAACGCCTTCTCCGCGTCCAAGGAAAGGATCAGAGAAGGCGTCCGGGTCCGAGTCGCCCACCATATGAGATCAGCGCCTCTCCTTGTATTTTCGTATAGTTGCCTAGCCGGTACAAAGCCGACCTGGTCTGGGTGTACCATTTTACCTAGGAGGGTGTTTAATCTTGTTGCCAGTATTTTTGCAAAGATTTTTACATCAAAATTTATTAGGGAGATGGGCCTGTAATTTGCTGCTTCGGTTGAATCCCGCCCTGGTTTGGGTATAAGTGCGATGTCAGCTGTGAGCATGTCCGGGTTTGGATGTCCACCGTCCATCCATTCATTGTACATCTTCGTCAGTCTCGGAGTTATCACTTCTCTAAATGTTTTATAATAGGAGCCGTCGAAGCCGTCCGGCCCCGGGGCTTTATTTCCCTTAAGGGCCGTGATCGCCCTGTCTACCTCCTCCTCCTCGATGGGCACCCCCAAGGCGGTTAGGGCCTCCGGGTTCGGTCCCATCATATTCGTCCTGGTTACGTAGTTAGTGACGTCATGTGTGTATTCCCTATTTTTACTACTTAGTTCTGGGGAGTGGTTGTATATGTGTGATAGGAACTCCGTGAAGATCTGATTGATCTCCGTAGGATTGTGGGTTATCCGACCTTGTTTATCTCAGATCGCCGAGATAGTTTGGAAGTGAGGCTTGGGGTTTAGTGCCCTGGCCAGTAGGGTGTCCATCTTGTTGGAGCGTTCGTAGTAGAGGCGTTTTTTCCGAACTAGATCCCGACCGAGATCCTCAACTGCTGTTGTCCTAATTCTGTGACGGAGGTCTCTAAGGTCCCGGAGGCCCTGTGTCGTGGGATTACGTTTATGGTAGGCTTCTGCCTTCCTCAGCTCCTTTTGGAGCTCGAAGAGAGTTTCGGCCCTTTGCTTTTTACGGCGGGTTGCAAGTTTAATGAGGATACCCCTCATGACCGCTTTGTGAGCGGCCCATATCGTGGATTGGGTTAAGTCCGGGTTGTCATTGTCGTCGAAATAGGTCGTGATTTCGTCTATTAAGAGCTTCTCCGTGTCTGGGTCCTTTATTAATGTGCCGTTTAATCGCCATTTCCATGGGGGTTTGGGGCCTGGTAGTCTGAGAGTGAGTTCAACGTCGGCGTGATCCGACCAAGTGATAAGGTTGATACGCGCAGAGTGAACCCATGGGATCCCTGTTTGGTTGACTAGGAACATGTCTATACTGGAGTATGTGGAGTGCGCTGCCGAGAAGAACGTGTAGTCCTTCACTCCTGGATTGCATAGCCTCCAGGGGTCAATTAAGTTCGTATTTTGTATAAATTTGATCAAGAGTTTGTCTTGGCCCCTTGTGGTCTGCGTCTTATGGCTACTAGTCGGGGCGCTGCGGTCGACTGTGTGGCAGGGTGTTGCGTTGAGGTCTCCCCCTAGTATTATGATTCCATACGGTAAGGTGTGGATTAAATTATGGACCGTTTCCCAGAATTCCGGGTCTGGCTGGTTAGGTGCGTATGTATTGATCAGGTGGTACGTGGTGGCATGTATGGTCCCCGTGAGGACAACGTACCTTCCCATAGTGTCCGTGTGCGTCGTCTGGGCCACGAAAGGGCATTTTTTATGTAGAAGTATTTCTACTCCGTTTTTTTTGGCCAGTGCCCTGGAGGAGTATGCCCTGGTATATAGATGGTCTGTTAGTTGGATCCGGGCTGACCGCAGGAGGTGCGTTTCCTGTACAAATGCTATGTCAGTTTTTTGTCTTTTAATTTCCCTCATCAGTAAACGTCTTTTGGTCGGGGTGTTTAAGCCATTTACGTTCAGGGAGGTGATTTTTAAGGTCGCCATAGTGTGTGGTTTTGTGGAGTCCCTCCTAATCCCCTGCGCTCCTTGTCTTAGACCGTCCCGCCGTGCGCCCCGTTAAGGCCTTGTGGGTTTGCGGCCCTTGCTGGCCCTTGGGTGGGGGCTGGGAAGGGGGAGAATGGGGAGGGGCGGTGGGAGACGGGGAGGGGGGGGTGAGGTAGCGGGGGAAGCTACTTTGTTTTGGTGTGCCGGGTATCCCGGGGGGTGGCCACCCGCTCCGCGGCAAAGTGTGTAGGCACGGAGGGGGCAGTCATCCGCCAAGCACCCTGGAGTCTGTCCGCTAGGGTCGGTCATTTCTCACCCGAAAGTCCAGTCTCTGCGAGGTCTGTGGGTCTGTTCGTCCGAGTGTGTCACTTCTCATACATATTTACAAAACAACATTAATTATATCAAACATCCCAGCTTGAATGAAGGCACAGGAAAACCACAATATGATACAATACAGTGCACTATAGTACAGTACCCCTTCCCTCTGTCCCTTTTGATTGTGTTAGCGTAGGCTATCTGCTGCTGACTATCTCTACTACACCGGTGTTGTGCAGGTGTTTTTTTTTTTTTTTTCCTCTCCTTCCGTGTTCCTCCCCCTCCTGCTTACTACCCTGTAGACCCGGGGTTCCCTTGCATCCCTTCTTCCCAGGTATGGGTGGGATTTTTTACCCTAGCGCTGTTGATGGCTGCCTAGTCGCAGCCCCTAATCCGTTTCAGTGTCTGGAGGTGGCGCGGGGGTACCTGGGATGTGCAGGGGGGGGGCCTAAGTCCCTATGTGCGGTGTCCTTTAAGAAATGGGGCGAGTGTCCCTGTGCTGTACTCTGCATCCCGCGTTTCTATTGCTCAATAAGCCGCCCCCCCTGTCCTCCCCCCGTGTGCGTGATAATGTGCAATAAGAAGTATAAACTTGCGTATCCGGGCGTAATCGTGGTAGGCTCCCCCGTCTTTAGCAAGTCCATAAGGTGCGCCCCTAAGGACACCAGGTCTGTCGCTCTTTCTGGCTGGTTATTGGTTGTTCTCCTGCCGTTTAACAAAGTCCATTTGAGTCTATAGGCTTGGCTTTTGTAGGGTCTTGTCTTTAGCTTCGGGTTGTCTTTGGTGTCGATTTTGCTAGGGCAGGTATCTAGGGTGACTTGATCCTCTGTGGAGATGTCAGTTGGTGATGCTCCTTTGTCCCCAGCTCGTGTAGCTGTTGTGTTTGTCCATGTGAGATGCCATGCGCAAATAGCCTCCCCTATGGGGCTCTTTGCCGTGAGTCGGTGAGCATTTTCAGGCCTGTTTGCCTCTGTGGTTCTGTGATCTTTTCCTTTATATGGTTAGAGTGGAGTTCTTCTTAGATGTCATATGCTGCGTTTTCTGCATATGTTAGGGCGAGGGATAGGGCTGTGCTTTGTCGTCATTACTATTTCTGTATCGGCATTGTTTGTTTTGTTTTTTTTGTTTGTTTGTTTGTTTTTTTTTGTTTTTTTTTATTAGTTATTTTGTTTTTTGTTTGTTTTTCTGGGTTTTCTTGCTGTTTATTTTGTCCTTCCCTTCCCGACAGTTTTAAGGTAAGTTTGTCTGTGAATGGTGCTGTCAGGGTTTTGGTCTCCTGTGCCTCCAGAGCTGTGGGTTTCTTTGAGTGGGATGTCTTCTGCTGGCTATGCGTCTCTTTTCGTTGTTGTGCATTGGAGCAAGGGTTTGTTTTACTGTCTGTGAGGCGCGTTACCTTCGATCGCTGCCCCTTCTCTAGGTATGATACCTAACGCTTGGGTGCCCCGTTGAGGGAGGTGGAAGTCCGCCGGGACCTCAACTCCTATCTCGTGGAGGAAGGCTCTGGGGTCCGCCGTGGGTAGTAGCACCGCAGGTCTTGGTCCGTTGAATACCAGCATTTTAAAGGGGTGGCCCCATGCAAAGTTAAGGCCTTTTGCTCTGATTAGGTCTGCAATGGGCTTCCATTCTCTGCGTCTGGCAAGCGTGGCTGGCGCTATGTCTTGGAATAGGTGTAATGTAGCGCCATCTATGGCGTAGGTGTGGTGTCTGGCACTTTTAAGTATAGCCTCCTTGGTGGAGAAAAAATGCCACCGCATAATTACGTCTCTCGGTGGCCCGTTGGGGGGTCCACGGGCTCTCAGCGCCCTGTGTGCCCTGTCGACCACCCACAAGTTTTCCGGTATAGCTGGCAGTTGTTCTTTAAATAGAGCAGTTAGCACCGTCTGTAGGTCTGTATCTTTAATCTTTTCAGGCAAACCCTTAATTCTCAAATTGTTTCTGCGTGACCTGTTGGATGCATCTTCGATTTCTGCCTCTAGCTCTGCCACTTTTGCCATGAGGGTGTTGGTGGCTGAGGCTGCTTCATTATGGGCCGTCACCACGTGATCCATTCTCCATTCAAGTGCCTCTGTGCGCTGCCCTACTGTTTGTATCTCTGCCTTGACTTCGCGGGCTGATCTCTCTATCTCCCCTGCAAGGTAGTGTTTAACTTCTGCCAGTGAGTGCAGTATATCAGAGGTGGTAGCCTGCTGTGACAGGGCTGACCAGTCACTCTGTGGGCTCGGGCAGTTCGCGCTCTCCTGACCGCCGCCATCTTTAGGCGCCTACGGCCTAGGTGTGGTGAGGAGGTCGGCGACAGAAGGGGTGTTCTCCCGCGGCTTCTTACCGGTTTTTTTATACTGTGCCATCTCCGGTTCTCCCCCTCTCTCTCGCCGGGTGAGTTGCAGAGGCTGCGGTCGGATGTGTGCCTCTGGCTGTGCGTTGCGGACTGTTCCGGGTGCAGAGCTCTCTGCCTAAGCGGCCATCTCGTTCGGCGGTCGAGCCACGCCCCCTATTATGACTATTTTTGATATTTATGTAGCGCCAACTAATTCTGCAGCACTTTAGAATATTATGAAAGGGGGAAAATTTACAAGACATGAAACAATTACACAGTGACAAAGGAACAACATGTAGATGAGGACCTTGCTCAAACGAGCTTACAGTCTAGATCTTGAAGAATTCTTATTTCCACAATATTTTAAATGTGACGGTCTGTCTGGCACCCCGACTGGGTGCTTCCACTAAATCCCTGTTTCCTAGTTGCCTTCAGTGTTATAAGCACCGCAATGGACACCATGAGCACCGTAGCCCCTTAGCCGCCACAGCTTGACTGACGTCTCACTGTCCTCTACCCACCCTGGACCTAAGACAATGATCCAGCTTCCAGTGGGTGGACCTCTCTTCCTCCAGAGATTATAGCAGGTCTGGCTGTATAGCTCTTACAAGAGCTAGTGATTATAGCCAGTATAGTAATCCAAAGCAGGTATAGCTGGTATAGCTGGCATAGCTGTTCCCTACAATCAGGAGACGAGGCTGCTTGTTGAGGGTGAACTGATTTTAATGGGGCCACACTTGTCCTTTTATGACAATCCCCATGCCTTTTTTGACAATCCCACATGGACCTGATGGTAGACTGAATTACAAAGTCACAGGCCAATGGCAACAGTGTTACAATACATGACACTCCCATGCATAATCGGGAATCCCTCGTCTGGGCCTGGGAGATAATTGGATCAGGAACTGTACTAATCTAATCCAATTATCTCCAAGTAAGAAAAACAATTTTTTTTCCCAAACCCCCAAAAGTACCCCAAAAACACATAAAACCCCACAAAAGTTACATCCCTTGATAGCCCTGGTCTGGGTGACCAACATATCCAAAAATCACCGAGAAAAACAAAAATCCCCTCAGTTCAAGTTCAGGAATTTCCTGGAATTCATTTAGTTGACCGACCGCAGGCATGGTCCCATGCCCAAAACAGTTCCAGAGAATCAGGGCTTGTGATCGGTCTAGTTCGGTAGTTTGAAAACGAACAAACTACCGAACAGAGTCAATAGTCTTGCCTTGGCGCTTGTTCCCCTCATTCAGACTAATGGTTTCACTGAACAGTCCCCTTCTAAATTGTATAGAACCGAAGGCAGTCGATGATGGAAGTCCAGGGGTGTTCTTGAGTGTCTGTGTCCGATTTTAGTTTAAAGAGATTCATGCCCAAAAACAGCTGCCTGCGTTCATGTGAACAACATCGGCACAACCTCGGTTGTCCATAGGAATTGCAGCCACCCAGATGAACAATGAGAACACTGCAGTGAGAAACGTTCCAAGTTGTTAATAGGTGTTAACAAGCACCAGGGTGGTCTCTGGTTTGTGCGGTTGTTCGGTAATTGAATCATATAATCCCAATTTCACGAACAGAGTCTTTTTAACGTATTTCAGCCAGGTCTATTGCAGGGGCCATAGTCCTGGGGCAAGAGGCTGGCGAGCAGGCCCCTCCAAGAACCAGTGGCAAGGTTCTGTTTGCCACATATATATGGTCAGGGTCTCTGGTTCGTGCGTTTGTTCGGTAACTGAACCATATAATCCCAATTGCACGAACAGAGTCTTTTTAACGTATTTTAGCTAGGGCTATTGCAGGGGCCATACTCTCAGGGCAAGAAGCTGGTGAGCAGGCCTCTCCAAGAACCAGTGGTGAGGTTCTGTTCACCACATATATGTAAAAACTAGTTGGAAATTTTTTGTCTCCTCTTTTTCTGTCTCCTCCCTATCTGAATTCAGAGCTTGGTTTTCCCATCTATCTAAGTCTTCTTCCTTATATGCTTTTTCCAGAAAATCATTTTTTAATTTCTTAATCTTTTTTGTCACTGCTATTTCAGTATCCTAAAATATTGGCTTTTGGGGACCCCCTTTAGCCAGGATTGATGGTGGCACCTGTGCGTTCGTATAAAGCTATTCATATCTACTTTTTTTTAAATTGTTTTTGTATTAGGTTTATCTCTTTCAATGTAGATTGTGAGGTCAAGAAAATCAATTTGGTGTAGACTCCAAGTTGAAGATAAGGAAATACATCATGTATTATAAGGAAATACATCATGTATTATTGTCTAAATATTCTAAAAAAAGTGCGTAGGTGCATTTCATTTCCTCTCTAAATAAAAAATATATCATCTATGTACCGTCTGTTGGTGACCAAGTATTGCGCTTTTGAGAGGATGAACTCCTCCTCCCAGTTAGCCATGAGAAGACCACTGTCTTGCCAGGAGTGAGCATGGCTCAGAAGAACGAGCAATGTTGGCGACAGAACAAAGCAGATGCACACATATAGATGAAGGACTAATGCATTGGAAATGACCAAGGAGGTTGGAGGATGGAATCATAACCTGACTTCTCCCGTACCACCCACTCCAAAAAAGTGCTGAAACACTCAAAATAGAAGCATGAAATTGAGCACCCCATTGGAAGTCCACACAATATCGACCTTCAAACAAACAATCTAGGAGAGGATGACACTCCAGGTGTACCAGAAGTAAACGAACCGTCGAATTGACATCAGTCTTTGACATCAGCGCACCTGGGCCTGCCGCGTGTATCATGCGTACCTCCAAAGGAAGCATTAGAGACCCTACACAGTTCCTCTGCAATGTCATCATTCACTAAACCCCCTTGAGGATAGGTTAAATGATGAATCATATACCAAAATGTAGATCGGAACCAGCGCTTATTAGTTTAAATATCAGTATACCACCTTGTAAATTGTTCTTATTAGCTGCTAAACATTCAAGTGATTCATTACAATATCACCAATATAAGATACAAAACAAGAAAAGAATGTAGCACTTCAATAAAAATTCAGTGAATCACCTTTTTTGTTTTGTTCGGAAGAAAATTTTTCCCTGGTATGTCAAATCTTGTACAAATATCTATAAAGATTAATTAAACATAGTATAGATCATACATAGTTACATAGTACATAACACGGTAATATGTTTTTACGTAGGGTGGGTCGCCTATACGGACCCAGAAACTATTCAAACCAGAGCTGGGTCCATAACTCTTCGTTTGTGAGTGTATATATATATCAGAACAAAAACGTATTATCGTGTTATGTGTGATCTATACTATGTTTAATTATTCTTTATAGATACTTGTACAAGATTTGACATACCAGGAAAAAAAAAATTTCTTCCGAACAAAACAAAAAAGGTGATTAATTTAATTTTTATTGAAGCGCTACATTCTTTTCTTGTTTTGTAAATGATGAATCAGTTAAAACTTCCCGGGCTCCTTCTTGG